GGAACAAGTCTCTCTATTCCCACGCTATTCCCAAGAACACAACTCCCTCATTCTAAATTGCTTGGGAGACAGCAGTTCTGGGAACAACAAAAGTTTTAAATTTGTTTTGTTAAATTTTGGCAATCATGGCACTTTTTATTGACGAAAAGTACGAAAATGAGTAAAACAAAGAAAAGAATTCAATATCATACGTTGAGTTAAATGTAAAAATTGCATTATTTGTCTGCTGCACAAATTATCAGAAATAAATATAATAAATATTCTATAAGTAAATAATAGAAAATTTTTATTTTATTTATTTATTTTATTTATTTATTGTATTATTTACATATGTATATAATTTATTATTTTCTTATATACAATAAAACAAAGTAAAATATCTTTTTTATTAATTGAAATTATTAATGCTTTAACTAAAATTTGAGTTCCTCTCCAAAACATTTATTTATTTTTAAAATTAGTATAGAAATGTCTTTTAATTAATAAACTGTAATAATACCAATGAAGCAATGTTTTACCTGCACGTAATTGCAAAAGTTTATATTAACTTATTTAAGGAATCTCATTCATTTCAGAATTTGGGTTTCTTTCATTATCTATTGTTTTAAATAACAATAGTTAATGCTTTAATTTGTGAAAAAAACCCTAGTGAATAAAATAAATAATAATTTAAATAATTTAATTATATTACATTTGTATTAATACTTTTATTAAAATACACAAGTGAAGGTTGACCAAGAATCAGCAAGGATACTTACACTAAACACACATCGCGGACTTTTTGAAGTTACAAGATTACCGTTTAGAATTTCAACAGCACCAGATATTTTTCAACGTGTAATGGAGGGAATTCCTAAGAACATAGATGGTGTGATTATTTATTTAGACGACATTCTAATTGGCGAAACAACTTTGGAAGAGTTGTGGAATAGAACACAAACTGCTCTGAAATGTGTACAGGATGCAGGATTGAAGCTTAAAAAATCAAAATGTGTTTTCGCAGTACAAGAGATAACATTTTTGGGGTTTAAGATAAGCCGAGAAGGAGTGCGTCCAACTGACAAAAAGGTGAAGGCAATAGCTCAAGCACCAGAACCAATAAATAAACAACAGCTACAAGCTTTTCTTGGGTTAATTACATTTTATGATAGATTTTTACAGAATAAAGGCGATTTATTGGAACCGCTGTATCAACTATTAAGAAAAGAGATACCTTTTAAATGGGGTAGAGAACAGAAACTAAGTTTTGAACGAGCAAAGAAACTACTACAATCAAAAAATCTGTTGGTGCATTATCGGCTGACTTACCACTGATATTATGCGGAGACGCATCACCGTATGGAGTTGGCGTGGTTTTGGCACACAAGATGCCGGATGATAGTGAAGCACCGATTGCTTTTGGCTCCAGAACATTACAGGGCGCGGAACGAAATTATTCACAGTTGGATAAAGAAGCGCTAGCGATTATGTTTGGTGTGCAAAAGTTTCATCAATTTTTAAGTGGTAGACAATTTACAATAATGACTGATCATAAACCACTAGTGGGGTTATTCAACCCAGAAAAACCAATATCACAGCATATATCACCCAGAATGTTAAGGTGGTCGTTAAAGTTAGGCGCTTACCAGTACGAGATTAAATTCCGAGAAGGGAAACATCACTAGAATGCAGATGCATTGAGCCGGTTACCTTTAAATGATGTAAAGCTACAAATACCGGAAATACCTGAAATATTATATTGCAATGAGGCTGAGGAACAGTTTTTAATCACTGCGAAAGACATTGCACAAGCAACCAGAAGAGATCCAGTACTATCAAAAGTAATGTGGCATATCCAAAGGAAAGATACAGTTTTGCCATATAAATTAATCCAGTTTAAACCGTTTGTGAATAAAATCCAGGAACTATCAGTGAATGCACAATGTTTGTTATGGGGAGCCAGGGTAATAATACCAGCAATGCTACGTCCCAGAATACTTGAGATGTTGCACGAAGGCATGTCGGCAATGAAAGCAGTTGCGCGAAGCTATTTTTGGTGGCCTGGTTTAGATGAAAATATAGAAATGTTAGTCAGACGTTGTGAAAAGTGTGCATGTAACAAAAAGAATCCTTCAGTAGCGGCAGGTAAACCATGGCCAGCAACGCTAAGGCCATGGTCCCGGTTACATATTGATTATGCGGGACCCTTTATGGGTACAAATTTTTTTATCGTCGTAGATGCTCATAGCAAGTGGGTAGAGGTAAAAATAACCAGTACAATAAATGCGATTAGAACAATCGAGTTAATGAGAGAAATATTTGCAACACACGGAATACCAGATACCATTGTGTCCGATAATGGGCGAACGTTTGTGTCAGAAGAATTTGAGAAATATTTAAAACTTAGCGGTATAAAGCACATACATATGGCACCGTATCATCCATCGTCAAACGGGCAAGCAGAAAGGTTTGTACAAACCATTAATAATCACCTTAAGAAAATGCAGTCTTCAGACATCAATAAGAATTTGGCAAATATACTTTTGCATCTGCGTACAACTCCTAATGCAAATTCAAATTCGAGTCCAGCAAAAATCTTGATGGGAAGGAAGTTGAAAACATTGTTAGATCATTTGCACCCCAGTGATGACAACACTCAGAAGCAGCTAAATTTTGATGAGTATTCGCAGTTTCCAGTGTGGTGAAAGTGTTTGGTACCGAAATTTTGGAAGAGGTGAAAAGTGGATGCCAGGGATTGTACAATCAACAGGAGATCGCAACTACAAAATTCAATCAAATAGTAACATATTGTCGAGACATATTGACCAGTTGCATAAGCGAGTTTCGGAGACACCGACAAGTTTAGAATCCAATATAACTCCAGTAGCAGTAACTTCAGTGGCACAACCGGAAGAGCAAGACGACCAAGTAAGTGCAGGTCATTCATCAAATGAATATATCCTACCAGATAGTCAAGTAGAGGGGTCATTAGAAGAAGAAGATAAAAGAGATGAAACATTAAAATCGCGACCGTACCGGCAGAGGCAACCGCCAAAAAGGTTACGGGACTATTTGATGGGGGAGGAACTGTAGTATATTCGATCATGGCAACCCTGTATAAAGAAATAGAAAAAGAAGGAAAAAATACAAAATGCGTTGTTGTCGTCGTTGTGCTAAACGGAGTAAGCGTGCCGTGGCGTAATCATTATTATTATTAATATTAACTTGTAAATTATGATATAACTTTAATCAATAAAGTATATGTTATTATATATGAGAATATAATAATAATTTTATTAAAATTCATATATAATTTTATTAAAATAAAATAAATTTTATTAAAAAAACTAATCAACACTTGTGGATAAAATAAATAAATAAAACAAAATATTAAATTTATTATAATAATTTTATTATAATAATAATTTTATTAAAATGTATTCAAAAATCTGATCATTTTCAGTTCCTTTCATATTAAATTAAACTATTTTTAATACTTTTTTAATTTGTCTCCCAAACAATTTGCTTGGAAAAGAATTTGTGCAAAATTGGGAAAAAACTGCCATTCCCATGCAATTCAGAATAGCAAAATTGGAAACAGGGAACAAAACTCCCATCCCCAAATTAATCAGAATAACAAACTTGGGAATAGGGAACAAACTCCCATTTCCATGCGATGCAGAATAGGGCTGAATAATAATTTTATTAAAATATATTCAAAAATCTGATCATTATAAGTCACTTTTATATTGAATTAAACTATTTTTAATGCTTTTTTAACTTTTCTATCAAACAATTTGCTTCTGAAAGAATTTGTGCAAAATTGGGAAAAAACTTCCATTCACATACGACTCAGAATAGCAATATTGGGAATAGGGAACGAAAATCCCATTCCCATATTATTCAGAATAGCAAAATTAGGAAAAGGAAAAAACTCCCATTCCCATGCGATTCAGAATAGGTACAATAGTTTTAAATGTAATTTATTCCTTCGTTTGAATATATCCTTACATGGAAATATTCCTTTGTGTCTTATTTAAAAATTATTTTACTTGCAATAGGCGTACTACAGCCAATTGCAATGATATACATAGCAATTCTGAATACTCCCAGGGAACAAGTCTCTCTATTCCCACGCTATTCCCAAGAACACAACTCCCTCATTCTAAATTGCTTGGGAGACAGCAGTTTTGGGAACAACAAAAGTTTTAAATTTGTTTTGTTAAATTTTGGCAATCATGGCACTTTTTATTGACGAAAAGTACGAAAATGAGTAAAACAAAGAAAAGAATTCAATATCATATGTTGAGTTAAATGTAAAAATTGCATTATTTGTCTGCTGCACAAATTATCAGAAATAAATATAATAAATATTCTATAAGTAAATAATAGAAAATTTTTATTTTATTTATTTATTTTATTTATTTATTTATATTATTATTTACATATGTATATAATTTATTATTTTCTTATATACAATAAAACAAAGTAAAATATCTTTTTTATTAATTGAAATTATTAATGCTTTAACTAAAATTTGAGTTCCTCTCCAAAACATTTATTTATTTTTAAAATTAGTATAGAAATGTCTTTTAATTAATAAACTGTAATAATACCAATGAAGCAATGTTTTACCTGCACGTAATTGCAAAAGTTTATATTAACTTATTTAAGGAATCTCATTCATTTCAGAATTTGGGTTTCTTTCATTATCTATTGTTTTAAATAACAATAGTTAATGCTTTAATTTGTGAAAAAAACCCTAGTGAATAAAATAAATAATAATTTAAATAATTTAATTATATTACATTTGTATTAATACTTTTATTAAAATACACAAGTGAAGGTTGACCAAGAATCAGCAAGGATACTTACACTAAACACACATCGCGGACTTTTTGAAGTTACAAGATTACCGTTTAGAATTTCAACAGCACCAGATATTTTTCAACGTGTAATGGAGGGAATTCCTAAGAACATAGATGGTGTGATTATTTATTTAGACGACATTCTAATTGGCGAAACAACTTTGGAAGAGTTGTGGAATAGAACACAAACTGCTCTGAAATGTGTACAGGATGCAGGATTGAAGCTTAAAAAATCAAAATGTGTTTTCGCAGTACAAGAGATAACATTTTTGGGGTTTAAGATAAGCCGAGAAGGAGTGCGTCCAACTGACAAAAAGGTGAAGGCAATAGCTCAAGCACCAGAACCAATAAATAAACAACAGCTACAAGCTTTTCTTGGGTTAATTACATTTTATGATAGATTTTTACAGAATAAAGGCGATTTATTGAAACCGCTGTATCAACTATTAAGAAAAGAGATACCTTTTAAATGGGGTAGAGAACAGAAACTAAGTTTTGAACGAGCAAA